ATTTTAGTCATTCCTTGCCTTTATGAAAGAAATAAGTCCAGATCATAGATGAAGTCTCTAAGAATTTCAGAAATTAACACATCAGAGTACTCATAGAACAAGCAGTAAAGAATACATTCCCAAAGACATGTCCTGTCAGGAGAAACAGTCAAATTGGCATCTACCTGGCATTGTTTCCCAATACTGGGGCTTCTGCATTTTACCACACACTGTAGAAAGTCAACCCACGAGTCCTGGAATAGGATCAAAAATATTCCCCATGAATTTGTAGATATAAGGATTAAACCTGATTTTGAAAAGAGAATGACACGGGGGAGGCTGAGGGGTGTAAAAATAATGTTATTATATATGTATATCTCAGTGTGTTTTGCCTGTATTTCACTCAGACACTGTCATGTAGAACGTGTGCTTCACTCTGAACAAAAGGTCTAATGCGACGCTTCATGCGGTTATTTTGGATTGCAGGCAAAGGAGATGCAGCAGATGGTGAAGCTGGAAGCAGAGATGGATCGCAGGCCAGCAACAGTGGTCTGAAGCCTCAACAAGCAAATTGAAGTTGGAGAACACGGCATCCTTTTAAAATGAGAGCAAAATTCAAAATAACGTTGCTGAGGTTGAAAAGTGGGCTTTTTCCTTTTTTTTTTTTTTGTTTTGTTTCTTTTGTTTTGTTTTTAAAAGGGGGTTGTTTTGGTTTTTTGTTTTTAATATGTAAAGTGTAGCTACGGACCACCAAGTCTTAAGGTTTGCATTATTTTTTTTTTTAACACTGGGCACTGAATTTCCTTTGTTGGATTTCTGTAAGAATCTCCTTTGTTCAGAAAAACCCCAACCCGAAGATGAAGACGGTTTTTTAAACCCCGTCCCTGTGTTCCTTCCTGTGTCCTCAACAGGCAGCTTGCCTGCACCAGAATTACACAATCAGAGCCTCGAAACACAACAGATACTTTTAACATCATCTCAAATGGCAACAAAAAGCTGTAGTCGAGTCATGTTATTTACCATTTCTGTTCTCATGTGATATGTTGTGTAGAAACCCCCCTGCTGCCAGATCCCGACAAGCAACAACTCGCCAGATGCTCAGCACCTCATGTCATCGAGCCCACTGAACTGGATCTTATGCCCAGTCACCCTAATAATCAGGATAGTAAGGAGCTGAGTTTGGGTGACTATAAATTATATTCCGAGGTATTTTCCAGGCAGCAGGCAATTGAAAGGTAACCGTGTATTCAGAAGTACAATATGTACAAAGTCATCGGCCAAATTCATCAGCTGCAACAGTAACTTGACAGGATATTTCTGCAGCCTAATGATGTCATTCACAAGTGCCATATCAACTGTCATAATGTCTGAGAGGAGCCTATATCCTGTAAAAGTTACTGCAATTAATAACCTGAGGGAAATACAGTGTATTTGTGCCAAAACTGATCAGTGCTCTAAGGAATTACATTTTAGGCACTTTAAGAAAAGTTTACATCCTACATTGCTTGTATAGAAATTGCATTTTGATCCTGTTGCTGTAGATCCCAGATATTACAGTTCATTGTAACTTAAAAGATTGTTTAAATGGCTTTTGGCAAAAAGTTTGTAACTGTGAAAATGTAAAAAGTATTTATACACTTGGGAATTACAACATTGTAGAAAATCACATACATGTTGCCACGTGATAAAAATTAGTAAACAGAAATGCTAAGAGTATGTTTGCATGTGATACAAATGCTACTAAGACTGTAATGCCTACTATATGACCACAGTCATGCTACTAGCTGGTAAATACTGAGTAAATGTATGGCACAGAATATTGTTTGATTAATTACAAAGACTTTTAGCATTACAAGGTCTCTATATATATGTGTGTATATTAATTACGTGGGCATTCTTGATACTTGTAGTAAAAGAAAAGTACATAACTAATTTAATTTTACACAGAAGTATTTATGCAGATTTTCAGAATTTCATATCAGGAATAACCTTTTTATGTCCATTAGATATAAAAAACAATTTGCTAATGTGTTAATTTGCATGTTTCCAGAGCTTGCTGTAGTTATATTGCAAAACAATGCATGTAAGCATTCCGCTTGGAATTTGTCCATGCTGCCAATTCAAAGATGACTGCATGGAAAACTGGTAGTTTAGAACAAATCAGATTCCTGATTTCAATGTACTAAGCACCAATTACTTTGTTGTATATGCTTGTACAAACAAATTCTACATATTCCTATAAACAAAATAAATGAAAAGAGATAATTATGTTATTGTCAGTCCTGAGATGAAACTTTCAACTTCTCTAATAAAAAACTTAAAAATTCAAATCCTTTAGTTTTGACTGCAGTGAATTGCAGGGTGGTGGTATTATTAACTGCAAATTTTTAGCAAGTTGTATTTCCTGTAAAAATGTGCATAGTGTAAATATATTTCTATCACAGCTTATTTAGTCAAAGGAGTCTTTTTTTTTTTTTTTTAATTTTATTTAAGTGATAGAAGCATTGTGCAGCATTGGTCCTGGCAGCACTAGAGGTCTACCCCAGTACAGTGTAGCAGCACTACCTGGAGATGCAGCAGCCTGAGTCCAGTGTAGCAGCACAGCTTTGAGAATGCAACTGAGGCAGAGGTCAGTGAGTCTTGAGGTGTTTAAAGCAGGGTTTAAGCAAACTTGTGATGTGTATTCAGAATTCCCACTCTGATGCCACAACCTACAGAGGTGTCTCCTGCTCCTTATAATGTTTTAAAAGACAAGCTGTGTGCTGGGAGCAGCTCTCCCTGCTCCCTAAGCCAGTCTCAAGTGCTGGATGGAGCTGGGAGCAGCAGTGTTTTCAGACCACGCTGGACAGGATCTGGCATCTCAAACAAGGCATTTTTTTTTATTATGGTTTTTCTTTTAATTAAAAATGTCTTCTAAAACACAGCTGGTGGAGACAGTGCCGAGAGCTGGAATTTTATACCATTGCCTACCACAGTGGTTTCTAGCCAGTAAAGAGAAGCAAATAACAGAGCAGATAGAGAGGGAACTTGTATGGTGAAGCATCTTAGGCTCACAGCCTGGCTGGAAAACACTGCCCTACCTGTTAAAGAAATAACTAGAAATGAAGAGCTTGGGTTCGGCTCACATCCCTCTCTGAAAAAAAACAAACCTGCCTGTCTTACTTCCCTGGCAAGTGTCCTATCCATCAGGGGGAAACACGGGTTTTGGAAGGCTAGAAAATGCTGTCCACAGCCCCCGTTTGAGTCTGTGCTCACTGCTCAGCCAGGAGCCAGGCATTTGTCAAGTCAGAGAGAAAATGGGCTTCCGTGAAACTGCAGAGCAGGAAACCTCAGCTCCCAGCACTGATGCCTATTTTATCCGTTGACAATTTAGCATAAAACGCAGGCAGTAATTTGAAATTAAGTGATGAATTTTGTCAGCTAAGTATTTTGAAATACTGTTTAAGTAGTATTTGATTCAAAAATTATTTGAAGTTTGGCCGCTAATGTAATGAGGTGAGAATTTCCATTGAGATGAAATAGGCTAATCAATTTGAACATTGATACCGAGTTAAAGCAGTTTAAAATGTCATTCCCTGCCGGGGTGATGGATTCCACTTCAGTGAAATTTCATCGAGGGAAGTGGCAGATTCTCCCTCTCTGAATCTCTTGAGACAAATTCAGCTCAGCTGTGATGGGGAGGGTCATGACACCCTGGCCTCACAGGCAGCCCGCTATTCTTTCACCTCCAGTAATTTGGGGGTTGGTCATTAACTTAACTATTTCCAGGTGGGGGTCTGTTTAACACCTGCACTGCCTGAGTGCAGTTAGACTGCGTCACTAAAGACCCAAAATACCCCTCGGGGGCTGATTTCCTTGTAGACTCCGCATGCTGTTGCCCACGGGCTGCCTGTGAAACCGGCTGCAAGTGGCAGAGACATCCCAGAGGAGCCAGTCGGCCAGAAAACGCTGCTCCTGCTGGATGTGCCAGCAGTTGTTCCAGGGCTGCGGCCCCGCTGTCACCGTGCTGTGTGCTCCTCCCGAGGAGGCTGGTAAGAGTTATTGCTGCCTGATAGTTGGGGGGTAGGTAGCAAGGGGGGGATTCAGCCTTCAGAGACACCCCCAGCTGTGAAGACTGGTTGTATAAGGGCAGGTTGGGGGTCTAGTTCCAGGTGATCCAGTCTGTGACCATAAATTGGCCCCAGTCACAGCATTTCAGGGCAGGTAATGGTGCACTGGCTCCCTCAGGTGAGACCTTTCTGCTCTGACCATGTTTTGGGGCTTACTTGGTTTTAGGAAATCTTAGGCCTTTCCCTATTTTGCCGCAGAGAACAGAATAAACGTGTCTCTGCAGGCTGGAAGTGGCGATTGTCCCTGGAGTGGAAGGGTTTTTTGTTGTGCCGTGCAGCTGGCGGGTGCTGGGAGAGCCGCGGTGCCGTGCCGTGGGTCAGGCTTGCCTGTGCCTCCAGCACAGCTGCTCTCTCCCAGCTGCTCCCTGTGGTACCCTCCTACACAGGCTGGTTGCAGGGGCAGCTGCTCAGAATCGTGCATTGGGAGGCTTAGAAGCTACCTAGAAACCTCAATAAGTCTGGAAATTAAATAGGGGACTAGAGGAGGAAATAGAAGGTAGTTAAATACTGGGCTCATCAGTGGAGGAACTGAGGAAGCCAGGCACTACAATTGCCACAGAAACTGTTACAGTCAAAGAGACTCGTATATAAGATTATATTTTTTCCTTTATACAGTCCCTTGAACTTATTATCTGTAGGTTAATCCTGTTTTACAACCAACACAGGTCTGACTCTGTTGGGGCAGGGGGCAGGATTGACTCTTTATCATGAAACAGGAGAGAGAGGAAATGGTCAGAATATATTTAATACGTACAGCAAGCAGAAAAGGAATTTCAACGTTACAGTTACAAAAATCAATGTTCCTTCAGTACCTGCTTTTATTTTTGAAGAGCTATTTCCCAGCAAGAAAGCCCCTATCTGCAGGTGTGTGCCCTGGCAGAGAAAGGGCAGCTGCCCACAATCAAAACTCACCTTGCAGTCCCTTGCTTCTCAAAACCCTGGACCGTTTCCTTCAGACGCCTTTTCCTGAACTAGAAATGCGAATTGGTGAATCCGCCACAGACTCCGAATAGCTGCTGTCCCTTTGGCTTTTAACCTAAAAAAAAAAAACATCCTCGGCGTGGGGTTTGCTGCTCCTGGGACCGGTATCGCTGTAAATTGTAAATAATCGGATGTGCTCCTGGTCCCGGGGCGAGGGTGGCAGCGCGTTAAAGCTCCAGAAAAAGCTCTTGATGAGAGATGGGGAGTTAAAAAAATATTTCACCGTCGCATCACCAGGCGAAAGGGAGAGCGGGGAAGCCCCGGAGCGGCCTCCAGCCACCGCCTCGCACCCCCGGGGGAGACCAGCAGCTCACCCGGGCTGGCAACGCGCCTTCTGCCCCCGCAGACCTCTCTGCCGAGAGCCCGGGGGTCCGGCCCAGCCCCTGCCCCCGGGCTCGGAGGGAGGGAAGGCAGGCGCTGTTTGACGAACAATTGAGGGGCCCCAACAGCACCGCACACCCGGGGCGGGGGGCGGGCAGCCCTCCTTGCTCGGGGAGGGGGTGCGCTCTTATCACCCCACCTCACAGCCCCTTCTCCCCTCAGCGCCGGGCAGGGGCAAAGCCCTGTGAGCCCCGGCACAGCTGGCACTGTCCCCCCATCTGAGGCGCAGCCCGGGTGTCACGTCCTCCCTGCTTCCCCAAAACACCCCGCCGGTCTTGGTTTTTGTTCTATGCACCTTTCTCGGGGCTGTCGGGACCTACGGGGTGGTGTGTTTTATGTTACAGTAGGTGTTATGGTTCGTCGCGACATCTTAGAGCTCAGGTGTGTCGGTGGCCGCTCACAAAAGGCTGCGGGATTGCTCCTGACCTTGCCACACAAAAATAGCTGCACGTTTCCTTCTAAATTAACACGCGAAGCAGCTGTTCGGCTTCATCGAAATTAGTGACGCTCCGTGAGCAGCCGGCTGGACTAGATATCCCCTCCTCCATCCACCCTGCCCCGTCGGCCTCTCCGGCGGGGACCGGCGGCAGGGCCCTGGGGCGGGAGGGACCCGGCCCCGCTCCCACCGCCGGCCCTGCCCGGGGGAGCGGGAGGCGCTGGGGGTCAGCCCCGCTCCGCTCCAGCCGCACGTCGGGGCGGCCCCAGGTCCCCGCGGGGATCCCCGGCAGCCCCTCCGCGGGGTCCCCACCGCCGGAGGGTGGGAATCCCTCCTCCCCGCCCGGCCGTGCGTACGCCCCGTCCCTCGGCGTGGGCGCCTCCATCAGCTCCGCCGGCATCTCCCCTCCTCCTCCTCCTCCTCCCCGCACACCCACACACTTTCCCCGTCCCTCCTCCCCGCCACTCCGCAGCAGAGTGCTTTTGCAGCCTGTGCGGCTCCTGAGAAAGGAGGTGTGCAGCTTTTTTTTTTTTTCTTTCTCCTTTTTATTTTTAATTGTTTTTTTCTTTTCTCCGGGGCGGACCCTTTGGGAGGAGCAGCTGCAGGAGCCGCGGCCACGCCGGGACCGAGCAGGGAGGATGGCCGGGGGGCGCCTCCCGGGGCTGCTTCTCCTCTTGCGTGAGTACCGCGGCGGCGAGTCGCGACAGGGAGCCCTGTCGCGATGGGGCAGCCTCTGGCGCTGAGACAGACCCGGCGCTGTTCGAGCACCGGTCCCACATCACCGCCCATCGGCTGCCCCATCTCCGCTACCTGCTCTGTCGCGACAGGGACGCCCTGTTGCGACAGAGGAGCTTACTCCATCGGGCTCGGGGGTGCCGGGGGTGTTCAGGTGAGCCTGCAGAGGCTTGGGGCGAGGGGCCCATCGCTGCCGGGCTCAGCCCCTCTGTGCCCGCAGACGCCGCGGCTCGCCTGGCCGCCGAGCAAGAAGTTGAAAACCTCTCCGGGCTCTCCCCTAACCCCGAGAAGGACATCTTCGTGGTGCGGGAAAACAGGACGACGTGTCTCATGGCCGAATTCGCCGCCAAGTTCATCGTCCCCTACGACGTGTGGGCCAGCAACTACGTGGATGTGAGTGGGGGCCGGGGGCGGCGGGGCGGCCCGGGGGCTCCCGGGGCTCCGGCAGGACCGGGGATGGCACGGGACACACACACACACATCCGCCGGTACTTTGGGAAAGTCCTGTATCCCCTCCGAGGATTTGCAGCCGGGGCAGTGGGGGGGCCGTGGGTTCCCGGAGGAGCCCCGGGGCCGTCCCCCTGAGCCCCCGCTCCCCGTTTCCAGCTGATTACGGAGCAAGCCGATATCCCGCTGTCACGGGGCGCCGAGATGAAGGGCAAGTGTGGCACTAACGAGTCGGAGCTGGAGCTCTCCTGGCTGGAGCAAGCGTACACCCTCAAACTCTTCTTCCTGAAGGTACGGGCTCCCCCGCACGCCCGGGAGCTGGGGAGGGGGCGCGCCGGCGTTGCGGGGTCCTGACCAGCCCTGTCTCGGCAGGAGGGGCACAACACGTCCCGGGGGCCAGAGGCGTTCTGGAGGCTCAGCCGGATCCAGTTCACCTACGACACCTCCGAGCGCACCTACTTCAAGGACGCCGTGAGCCGTAAGCGCCCGGGGGACGGGGTTTAAGGCGGATCCCGGGGGTCTGGCGGGCACCCCGCGGGCTACTCGCCTAAGCACAGCTTAACGGGGAAGACCTATACCCGCCCGACAGAGCCGGGACTAACTGCCGGGTTTAAACGGCGAACTATTTTTTTTGTGTCCCCCCTCCCCTTTTTTATTGTGTTTAATGACCGCGGTTGCCGTGGGAGGAGAGCCCAGCTCTGCCCGTGTGCTGCGCTGCCCCAGGCTCTCCGGCGGGACCCAGGGCCCGAGGGAGTGGGCAGGGGGCCACCTGGGCTGAAAAAGCTTGTCTCCTCTCCTCTGGGAGATGGTTTTTAAGGTTAATTATTTCCTCACTTCTGATGATGGTTGAATAGGTGGGAAGGCAGCGCTTTCCCAGGATAACTATGAGATTGACATCAGTATCATACTCCTACACACCTCTGCACCCAGCAGCCTCCTCTTTTCTCTCTGGGTTTCCGTTCTTTTGGCTTTCATTTTGTTTTTATTTCATTTCTGCTCAGAAATTATTTGTCTTGTATCAAAAACTGAAATACTGTCATCTGCAAATCATTCTTCCTCAGGATTTTCAAACTCCGGTGAATAGCGGGCTAAGAGTTTGTGCTGTAAGATACCGTAGATATGGGGCTGTTTTCCCACTGGTGTTTCTACTGTTTGAGTCCCCAAAACACGGTGGTGGCCATGCCTCATCAGCTTCTGCCAGTGTGAAACACTGATTGCTTTTCTGTGCTGCTGGAGGGGAACAAAGGGCTGCAGAAGAGCGGGAGGTGGAAGGCATCCCTCATTCCACCTTGCTGAGCCGCATTCGGCCTTCGTTTGTGAAACGAGCTTGATGGGAAAATATTTTATTGTAACTTAACGCTTGGGTGAAATGAACACATTGTAGTTTCAGGAAAGGCATTATGGCCTGTTTTGCTTTGTAGCGTGGTCCCCAAATTGCATCGCTCCTTCCCACCTGAATTCCGAGCTCAGGTGCTGCTTGAGTAGGAATTGCCGCTTCCCAAATGTGGGGAGTATGAGCACAGTCCCAGGCTAAAACTTGCACGTGTGTCAATAGAAACCATTCCTCCAGCTCCACGGGCCCCAGGTCCTGCGACAGGAGCGCAGGCGGCGGTGCTGTGGGAGCAGCAGAGCGCGCGGGCGCCGCATTGCGCACCGGCTGCGCTCCCGCGTGTTCGGCCCATTGCCTTTGTCACTAAAGTCACCTCGGGCCCCCGGAGATGGGACCTGACCTCTGTTTGTGTCCCTTGGCCAGCCGGGAAGCACACGGCCAGCTCACACCGGCTCTCGGCCCTGGTCACCCCCGCTGGGAAGTCCTACGAGTGCCAGGCCCAACAGACCATCTCCCTCATCTCCAGCGACCACCAGAAGTCGGTGCAGCTCCTGCTGTCGGAAGTGCGGCTCCAGCCCTTCGACATCCCCGCGGATTTTGTCTTCAGTGAAGGTAAGGTGAAGGCAGGGTGAAGGCAAGTCCTGCGTCCCCAAGATGCTGATGCCACCGTGGCCTTTGGGGATGTTGCCATGTACTGAAGGAATTTGTGTCCCACCTTTATCAGAGCACCATCCTCTCACTCCAGCTCCCTTATCGGTGCTCCCTGCAGTCCCTCCAACCTATTCCCTGCCTCTGTGGCCCTCCAAAAACCTTTACAAATTCAGCCTAGCTGCTAAATCATGCCCTGTCTTTGCATGTACGTTGGCTTCTGTGAGGACTTGTAGAGCCAGGTTGCCAGCAAACCGGTCCCTGGGGAGTCCTGCAAGGCTTAGGTGTCTCCCCTGCAGCACAGAAGCTGCTTCAGCACAGCTCCAGGGGTTTCTTAGGGCTGCTGCACACTGAGGGAAAACCTGAGGCTGTGGTGGCAGGAGATACTTGGGATGCATGTTGCTGGCTTCAGTTTGATTTATGGTCATTGTGAGGGTGAAGGAAGCATAGCAGGGACTTCAGTGAGGCGCCTCATGTGCCAAACACAAGGGATGTCATTGCTCTTCTTGGGTTTCTCTAATGGTAATGGTGGATAAAAGAAAATGTAAGTTAAGGCGTGCTGTTTATATCAAAGGGTTGTACTGGAGCCAGCAGCAATACTGCCATGGGGCAGAATTCCTGCAGTTTTGCCTGCCTTTATCCTGAGGAACCCATGGTGCTCCTGCTCCCTGACTCCCCCTTGGCTTTTCCATCAGGTTGAATGAGGGAATGCAAACATGCTTACCTGAATTAGGTGAGACTAGTCCCCATTTTATAGCACTGCCTTATCAAATTAGTTAAGTCCATTAGTGTAACAAGATGCAAATAAAATATGTAATAGCCAAATCTTTTAATAACGAGCTAGAAAATGGTGGTGTTATTTTCAAGCCCAGCATTAAAAACGTGGGGCTTCATTATTTTGCATGTGGGAAATACATTAGCACACAATAAAAACCCAGCAGTGACTGCAGAGCTGAGCACTTTGCACTCATGACTCGCCTCCTCTCACCGAAGGAGTAAATCCGTGCTGTTACGTGTGCTGGCTCTGGCAGAGCTCTGCGTGGCTGGATTACTCATGGCAGGGCCAGTGTAGTATGGAGTAGGTTTTACATGTGGGCAGGCGCTGGAGGCTGAGAAAAGCATATTTAAAATATGCAGGTTTGGACTCTGTTTGAGCTGCTGTGTCTCTGTGATACCAAACTAGAGAAGTCTGAGAGCTCCCAGCTAAAACAACAGAACTCAGGGCTCATTGCCAAAGGAATCTACCTGCCATTTTCATGATATGCTCTTTCCTGTCAGGCAGTAAATTTGTTGCTTTCTCTTTTTTTTCCTTTGTTGTAGTTTTTTTTTTTTCTTTTTCTCCAGGACACAAAGAGACCCTGGTTGGTTTAGCAATCTTTAAACCTGCGTGGGCAATTCCTCCTCCGGAGGAAAGCGCAGCTTCTCTCTTTGTCAGGCTTTGTTTTTTTTGTTGTTGCTGCTCTCCTTATTCAATTACCTTTCTTTTTGTCGAATTCCACTGAAGTTAAATAGCAAAGAGCACCTGGAGAGGGTGGTCAGAAGTGCCTGAGAGGTCATTTATCAGTGAAGCTTCACACAGTCCCCACCAGCCGCGCCGATGAGCTTGTCCGCGGCACACGCATGGCAAAACACGATCCTTTGTGGGGTCTGAGAACCACTGCCAATCTTAAATTACAGTAATTAGCCTTCTCCTTTTTGGTTCATTAATTTCCCATTAGGTAAAATTCCTATTAATTATGAACAAGCTACAGAACACTTTAAAATATTTTAGAATAGGGAAAGAGACCCGCTAGAGCAGAAGAATCACCAAGACGCAGGAGGGTCAGGGCCCTTTCACCACAAAGGACTGGGGGAAAGTTTTTTTTTCATTAGTCCTGACACTGTTCTGCCAGGGATAGATTAAAAATCTTGTAGGGACTGATTGGATTGTGTTTATTTTTTTGAATGCTTAAACTCATGTGCTAAAGTATCATTTTTTGTTTTTTTTTAAAGACACCACTTCCAACCTTCACAAATCCAAATATATATATATATATATATATTTTATGTTTTTCAATGCAGAAGCAGCAGAACGTTTTTTTTCATTCAGAGCTTGGTAATTTAATTTTTTAATGGGGAAAATGTGTATATATTTTCAGCTTTAAAGATGAGTAAAAAAGATGAGCTGGATCAAGAGGGTGCGAGGAGAACATTTAAACTGACGGAAGAACCCCAGAGAAATTGCCAGCTCTTTTGATTTTTATATCTATACGTGCAAATGTAATGCATTATGGTGGAAAATACAAAGGGATACAAAGGCTGAGAATTAGAGACTGGGATCCTGGGAGGTCTCAGCTCGGTCTCAACTCCCTCTGAGCCACCCCAGTTGAGGGCCACATTTTCCCGAGGGTCCTTGGCACCAAGATGTGCAGCCACATTTAAAAAAGCACCTGATCTTTCTATTTTTTTCTTTTTTTTTTTTTTTTTAAATCTAATTATTTATAAATACCCACCTCAAAAATCCATCTTGTCATGCCCATACATAACTGGCCCGTTTTGTCCATCCCTTTGGACAAATCCCCGTGCCAATCCTCAGGCTGGCATTTGCGGCTGCCGGGAAGGCGCCGTGTGTTTGTTGCCGCTGTTTGCTCTGCAGAAGGATCTGAAACAAGAAAATGGGCCTGTGAGGTGGTTTCGTAGCCCTAGTACAGAAATTGGACGAGCACTCACCATAGAAACGGCGGCAGTGTGTGAGCCTGGTGCTGCAGCACAAGAGAACAATGAGCAACGTACCTAAACGCCTCCTTTGTATCCGTCTGCAGCCCGTGCTCCGTGGGGCAGGGACCAGGGACTGCGGGGTGGCACCTCTTGGGGGGAAAAGGGGCGGCCCCGCTGCGTTTGGGATGCGACAGAACTGCAGCCTTACCCCAACTTTTAAGGGAATTAAATTTGCCAGGGACCGTTTTGCTTTCCTGGACCGAGGGTAGATCCCATCGGTTTGGGAAATTTTGAGATCCCTCTGACCTGGAGCAAAATATGGGTGAAAATTTACCAGAAAGGGCCGTTCTCCTGCAGGATCATTGATTTAAAAATAGATAGCAGTTCCCAATGCAGTGGAGTTTCATTTGTCGTGCATAACCAGCCCACCTGCCCACACTGTGCTTGGTGGGGTTGAATGTCTGAGTCTGTGTCTGCCACGAACTTCATGCAAACCCTTCTCCCCTCCTGCTCCCTCTTTGGCTTTTCCTTGACCAGGAATGATGCCTTCTGCCTGTCTCCCCGCAGTGCCTATGTGGTGAAAAATGCTGTATAAATGTTGAAGTACGTTGATACAAACGTGAAAATGTTTTTGTTTGTTGCAAAATGACACGTTTTAACATTATACTCATGTTAAAATACAAAATTCATCCTCCTAGCAGTCAGCACCTGGAGAGCCTGAGTCCTGCTGCTGGTGTGTTTGTGCTGAGCACTTGCCAGTACCTCTGTGCTGGGTGGCCCCCAGCCCCATTCCCCTTCTCCCCACAGTCTCCAAAGAGCCCAAAAGGGATGCCTGGTGGTCTGCTCCAAAAGGAGAAGATGGATGTGTGTGGGGAGGAGAAGGTGCTGGGAAGGCAGGAGGCAGCTGGTGTGCAAGGCTGCCTGCTCTGCCCGGGGTGGTGCAGCGGGTCCAGCTGGGGAGCAGCATGTTTGGGGGTGAGCTGCTGGAGACTGCCAGCTTTGCTTTTTTTTTTTTTTTTTTTTTAATCCTCTTAAAAAAGTGTCAGGATGAAGAACTATCTTCCTTGGCTGCTTGCAAGAGTTGACACCTTTTTGAGTTGTGACTCAGACACTTAAATACAGCCGTGGCTTCCTGTGGACACCAGAGCTCTGGCCACATCCTCTGGCATATTTTGTGCTCTGCAGCCAGTTTGCTTTGGCAAAAGCTGGGGGAATTCCAATGTTACGAGCAGGTGCTTTGCAGTTGGGTCCGTTCTCTGCATCACAGCAGTGGTGCTTTGCCTTCTTCACTGGCTGCAGACCCTCACATTCACCCCATTCTCCTGCAAATGCATCACCCTCGTGTAGGGAAAGTGCATGGGCAAACCTGGTGTGTTTGAGCTGAGTGGAATGCCCTCAGTTGGGTTTACAGCAGGCTGCTTTCCATTTTCTGTAGGGTTTAAGCTAAACCACTTTCAAAGCAAAAATCAGGTCCAGCTGCTGTGAACTCCTGCTAATTGGCACCTCAGCACACCCTGGCCTGTCAGGCTGTCTGTAGGTGGGTACACAGGATCTCCTCTAGCATGGATTTTTCCCATGGTGTTGCTTCGTATGCACACGTGTGCAGCGGGGCTGTGGGGTTGGAGCACCCCTGGCCCCGCAGCTCTGCCCCGTGTGTGGCTTTTCCTGCAGTCAGCTCAGCCTGCTGGTGTGTCTCTGAGTTTGGTCAGGCCTTAGAATCCTAAACTGGGAAGAATTTCATAAAGCACTAGAAACCCAACTTTGGGAGCTAAATAATAATAATCAGGATTTCCCCCCCCCATTCTCCTTACTACAAACAAACAAAACCCCTGCATTGCAGCAACTGCTGAATCGCCCGTACCACAGTCCTGGTGATTAATCACTCCTCTGGTGAAACTGTGAGCAACTGGAACCGAAAAGGACATTCTTTTTGTTAGACTACATTTCACTTTTTCTTTTTTTTTTGTTTCACTCCATTTACAGCTTGAAATGTTTCCTGGTGGCACCGCTGTGAGCCCGGTGCTGGGAGGAGGCTCCGCTCCAGGACACACTGGAGCTCCTGGAGGTGCTGGCACTGCTGGAGACAGGTCCCTGCTGTCACCTCCTGCCTGGGCCTGGGGGGGGGTGTCTCTGGGTTTTTCCTGCTCTTTAACACATGGCATTAGATTTGCAGAGCATTTGCTCTTCGTGGTTATTGCAGATCTCGGTGTCCTGCAGTGAGCTGCCTGGGGAACCCATCTGGACAGTCTTTAGTGAGGGCAGGAATTCGTGGTGCCCTTTGTATTTGCTCATCTAACACTCAGCCTTTTTGTTTTTCCATTTTTTTTCCCCTAAAGTTTTCATTGTTTTCAGCACATTCCTAATACTATGAAGATGATCCAGGGGCCAGAGAACTGGCCCTCTTGTACCACGTAACCTTTTTTTTTTTCCCCCAGAGTTAGAATTTTTGTTCTTTCTGTCCTGGCAGCCCCACCTCAGCAGTGTGGGCTCTACCTGTCCATCAGCATGGAGAAGCAGCAATCCTGTGGGGAAAAAAGTACAGTCAGTCAGGCCTGCAGCAGACTCTGGAAGTGTAAGGGAACTGAACTGGGATTGCCAGTGTAATGTGTTTTCTGACCTTGGTGGCCTTTACAAGCACAACAGAAAAGTGTTTTCGCCTTGTGGCTGTGGTTATTAATATTTTCTAGAGGTTTATCAGACCATGGCAGAGACTCATCAGCAGAGGGAAGAACACTGGGGGGCTGCTGTTGTTTCTGCTCATCCTTTGCCGTGTTTGGTGAACAACACGAGGTGCCAGGATGCTGTCTGACCACAGACACATGTTGTTCTGCCAGGCTGGTGAACTCCCTGTGGGGAGCACATGGAAAGGGGAGAGCGATGCTCTTAAACCTCTGCCACCTTGCAGATGGGGGGGGAAGTCTCTGAATGATGTGCAGGGCAAGTCTGATGCACGATTAAAGTCTGAGTGACGTCGAGGCCTCATGATATCATATTTATAGACTCTATAATTAAATAAGCAAAGCAGATCTTCAGCCACAGTCAGGAGACACATACTATTGCTGTCCCATTCCCAGCAAGGCCATTGATGTGTGGCAGAGAGGTCTGAACAGGAGCTTATGGGCATAAAAGTGCTTTTTTTTACACTGTGTGGCTGGTTTGATAGATGTTACCTCTGCCTCCCTCCCTGTGTTGACTGTGATTTCACTTTCCTCCAAAGCAATTGATTTTCTCCCTGGGGCTCCAGCGATGGTTCTGTCACTGTCTTTCCTTGCTGCTGCAGCTGGTTTTGCTGTGCAGGGGCTCTCTCATGGAGCTGTGACTCCGAGGAGATCAGTTGGCCACTGCAGCAGTTCAGATTTGCAGGGTCTCATTCATGGCTCTCTTTTCCTTTTTTCCCTTTCCCTGCAGAACACAAGTGCCCAGTGGACCAGAGGGAGCAGTTGGAAGAAACCCTGCCTCTGATTCTGGGCCTGATCCTGGGCTTGGTGATCGTGATCACCCTTGGCATTTACCACATCCACCTCAAGCTGACAGCCAGCCAAGTGCAGATTCCTCGGGACAGATCTCAGTACAAGCACATGGGATAGGGAGCAGGATCGAGCAACCCGAGTATTCATCAGGTAGAAAAAGCACTTTTTTTCCTGTGGGTGAGGAAAGGTTATGGGGGGGCACGAGATGGTATTCACAGCACCTCATGGTGAGCATTTCATGGGGACACGCAGGTCAGGGCCGGGCCTTCACTCAGTCAGGGCAGAGTCTGTAAGAGGACTCGGTGTCTGATGTGAGGTGTCTGTGGCAGTAGGTGGTTTGAATACCTTCTTAAGCAGCTGGGCTGATCATCTGGAAACAGAAATGCTTCACATGTCAAATTTTAACATTGGGAGCAAAATTAGCTTTTTTTTGTTCTCTTTTTTTTTTTTTTCTACCTCTCCCTTGAGCTGCTCTGGGAAGTGTTGAGCCCTCTCTGCTCCTGTCCATGCAGGGAGCAGGGCTGAGGGACAGAGTCCCTTCATTCAGGCCCTTTAATGAAGGGACTCAAACCACATTCCTAAGTTTGCACCCATGTTAAGGACAGCATGGAGGCAAATACAGGTGTGTTTTGAAAAAAAAAATTAAAGGTCAGAACCTGGAGCTGATATTAATTGGAGTAACTCCAGTGGAGCAGATCACAGTCAGCTGTGGAGCTGACCCCACACTTGAGATCGAGTGAAGAAAGTTTGTTTTTGCTTCTTGAGCCACATCTGAACTCAACTTTAAAAAAAAAAAAAGGTAAAAAAAAAAAGTATTGATACACAAATTATAAAGTGCCGTGCTACTGCAAGTCAACTGAGAAATGCTTCTGGCTGGACATCCTGCACGTATTGTGATTGTTGTTGAGATGTTACATTGCTACCTGCAACTGATATTTTCACAACAAAACAAAAAAAAAAAAAGAAGAAAACAGTAATGTTCAAGTTACTATGCAGATTATTCAGGTATAATCTAATGTAACAGAAAAAAATATAAGGGAGTCCTCGAAATCTATCCTTAAATGTAGACAATTTTTAAAATTAATTAAAACATGTACATACATAATAACTTGATTTGCCTTCTTCTTTTGAAATGATGTAATGCTTTGTCCTAACTCCATGATACCTCATGGAATTGGTGCAAAAATACCTCTTGCTGAGTGGAGGTTAAATGTAGGATTTATTCTAGCAGGAGTTTTGGAGCAGATGGTTTGGTGAAGATATGGTGGTGGTTCAGTATTCTGTGATTTGTTGGTTATTTTTAATATTACTGTAATCTCTTGGTTGCTTTTCTTACATGTTTTGTGGGCAATGGTGTTTCAATCTGGTACTGTCCAGTTTCCAATGAAGCCTTTGACTTCCCTCAGCAGGAGTTAGTCCAGGCCTTGAGTCAACTTAGGGTATGCAAAATACTTTCTCGTTCTTTAAGCTGGTTTGATCCAAGCAGTGACTCAGACAGACTGTCCTCTTTCTGCTTAAACCCAAATAATAATCAAAGAAAAATAGTAATTTCAATGCTGTGAAATGTAAGAGGAGAAACCTCACTGGCTTTTAATGCTGTAGCCTCCTCCAAAATTTACAGGTTTTTTTGTTGAAGGTGGATGCAGCACGAGCCTTCCTTTAGTCTTGTCTTACTCCTGGTCTCATTTCTTTATATTATGCTTGGCTTTTTTTTTTCTCATTTGGATTTAAGAAGCGTAATTATTGCGCTGTTGGTGCTTGTGGCTTTGCCCTTTTCTTTCAACATTCCGGTGAAAGTGTTCTGGGCAGGCTTTAGCTGACCAAGTGCCACTGCCTACAATGAGCTGATTATTAAAAAAAGGTTGTTTTAGAGGCAGTTAGGAAAAGCCAGAGGTAGCAGGAGGGTGAATAAAAGGATTAAAGGTTCATCCTCAATAGAGAGGAGCCACAGTTATCAGCTTTGTCCTGCCTCACCCTTGTCTGCCCTCCAGCCAGAAAGGCTCTCCCAGCCAGCTCCCATCAGCCTGGCACATCTGCTCCTGTATTTGACATCCAAAAGAATAATGGGATTAAAAAAAAAGGAAGCAAACAGCTGAACTGCAGATGCCAGAGGAGCCCCTCCATGGTCGTTTGTCTCCCGAATAGCACATTGTGGCCGGGTGGCTGCAGGAGCAGGATATTGGGATGGCCCCGTGTTTGAAGGCAGCGAAACCTGGGGCTCAGCTGAGCTGCCAAGTGTCACTGTAGGAGAGGCAGTGGCTGAGGGATGGAGCTGCTGGCTGGGCATAATATCCCCAGGGTGGTTTGGGAGTTTGTGCCTTGCTCAGCTGAAGCTGCTGGTGGGTTTTAGCCTTTAGCCCTTGTGTGTCACGTCGTTGCTTCTCCCCCTGCAGAAGGTGAGCGAGACCCGCCTGGTGTAACTGGGAGATGCTCTCAAACATCTCAACATGTGGTTAAGGTGGAAAAAATGCTAATTTATGGTCGACTCTGCAAACTGATTTTAATTCACCCTGCAGTGACCCTGTCGGGGTGGTCACAGCAGGGCAGCTCACAGGAAGCCGTCCTTGCCTGATCCTGCTGCTTGAGCCCTGGCCAGTGCTCTGAAGTGGGGCTGACCCCCCAAAAAGCTGGTGCAGCTCCTGTGACCCTCTGCCTACAAACATCAAGAACTTTTGTTGCTTTTCATGTCAGATGATGGAGGTTTCCCCTTAGGAAGCTCCTGGCATCGCTTTCAGGTGGAATGTGTCTGTAAGCTATTAGTTGCATGAATACAGTAATTATTTTTGTTTGTTTTCTGAATTGATAGAAAATAATTTTTTTGTTGGATTGAAATGTTTTTCCCTCTCTTTTGTGGGGAAGAAAGGAAATAGAAACAATAATTTCAGCTCACTGGCAGTTTGTGCCCCAGACTGATGTATGTTGTATAAAGAAAGTTATTTAGGATGTTGGGTGAAAACCCTTTGAATATTTTAATCCTTTCCATCCTTTTGTTAATATTTACTTAATTTGATCTGAATTTTCCATTGCTTAAGGCTTTTCAAGCCTATTTATGAAAAAATTATTTATGAGGTTAAAACAGCTGTCCAGCTTCCCTCCTGCCCATTCAAGCTACAGCAGCATCTTAAGGATGGCAGCACTTTATTGTGATTTAATTTTATATTTATCTTTCATTCGTTGATGGCTTATTATGGTCTAGCTGCAAATTGAATGCTTTGCTCTATATAGATGTTTATGAACACATCAGTTCATGGTGGATAAATATAAGAAACTTATCACCCTACTGAGCTCTTTAAGGACCTGTAATAATTAGGCACTTACTAAAGCAGCTGCTAATGACTTACCAAGTACTTATGATTAGAACTTTAATTATAAATTATTGATGTATTGCTGAGGAGGGGACTTACACAGCCAGCAAATGTCCCGGCCTCTGCTACTGAAATGATGGGGATTTGTGAATGCTTTTAGAACTGTGACCTCAGAAAAAGCCATCATTCCTTAGTGCCAGGCAGGAATAAACTCCCTGGAGTACCCGGACATACGTGGAGCTCGGCATCAGCTTCAGTCAGCTTGTGCAGCCCAAGGTAACAGACCATGGTTATTCCCTGCTTTTTGCCCAGCTCTGGCTTTATTTGAAGTGCTGAGGGTGAAACAGCCGAAGTTAAGATTTCTTGTTTGATTGTTTGGGGTGTTTTGGGTTTTTTTAGGTGATGGCTAATGTATATTGAAATATTTACTGATGTCAGCAACCAAAAGTAATCAAGAGTAATATAAAAACCTCACTTATAAGACTTGGAGGTGGCAAATAACATTGTAGCTTCATCAGCTGACTGGTGCTGCTGGGGAAACTGGGAGGAATGTTGTCAGTAGGCGTGAGAGCTGAATGGTTGTAAGCCAAAAATTCAGGATGTGTAAGGCCAAAAAAAAAGGGATTATTTAAGAGGCAGGGAAAGCAAGGTGGAAATGTTCCAAGAGGGACAAGTCCTTCTGGAGAACTTCATCTTGCAGAGGTGTGTGGGTGTGCTCGTCACTTCTCAAAATACTCTGTACTGTCTGACTGACCACAGTCTGGGTGTTTTATTCAAGTGCTGGCATTGCCAACTCGTGTTGAAACATGTGGGGTTTTCTATGTTTAGAGGAGAATTGTTTATTTTTCTAACGTGAGTGTGTGTGTGTACATGGGTATGTTTGGGGGGGGGCCTCTCAGAATGGTGAAATCACAGTATCTTGGTTTGAAATGCCTATTTGTCTACTATTCTTCTAAATTTAAGCCTGATGTTCTTGGATAAGTCTTTTTTTTTTTCCCCTTAATTTTGGGTGAAGGAAAATTCTTTTTTTCTTATTTACTTGGCCCAGTATTGTGGGACTGAGTCAAATCTATAAAACAGTAAAAAGGCACAGGGGAAAAAAACCACACTGAAACTTGAAGTGTTTATTAATTAATTTATTTAACTTGCATGTGCATTTGTCTCACCAGTAGCTGGTGTTCACAAAAAAAAAAAACCTTTGAAATCGACAAAACTTTCAGTAAACTTGATGAACACTGTTTTAAAGTATCTAATGATAAGAAAGTTGCAGAAAATTCTTCACTTGCACAGCCTAAAATGTGCTGAATATTGAAGAAAAAAACCCCCCACCAACCCCTTTTTTTTAATTTTTTTTTTATTCAAAGATGGTTAAAAAAGTTTAACTTTTGTGGCTAGTACTACAGTTGTGCCTGTATGCCATTGCCTGGACTGGTGCAGCCGGTTTTCCTGAGTTGTCAAGACTACAAAACAGACCCCCTGGAAGGCTGTGGGTGCTGCTCTCGGCCGGGTGGGCACCGGGAGCGTGTTTGTTTGCGGCGGGGCGGCGGGAGCCAAACACATTTTCTGTAGTGCCCTCTTAAAATGTGCAAACAGGGTTAAGAAGAGAAAGCAGAGCGGGGGGAGTAAGACACACAGATGTGAGAACATCTATTCAATGTTCCAGTTCATATTTATCTCCCTTTTTTTTTTTAAATTGCTTCTCTCCCTTCAAATATTCTTTTAAGTTTTTAAGGGCAGAACTAAAGGAGCTTCTTTATTATTGGCAACTCTTTTCTCCCAGAGGAAGATCTTTAAGCAACAGCTCCTGCCAGGTTTAGATGTTTGGTTATAATTTACTACAATAAATAACAATTAATTTATCAACTATGAAACTCCATCATAAGAAAGAAACTGAGTTTTCACAAAGTTGGCTTTGTGGTTCCTTAAAGATACTGTAAAATGAGGTCAGTAAGAAAAAAAAACAACCAAACTTGAAAAACATGGCTTTTGTATCATACATAATTAAAAAGAACTAATCATTAATAAATAAAAATCATTTATCATTGAAATAATTATGAAGCACTTCTAAAAATTTTAAAGGCAAATCTATTTAGGCCTACAGTTAACATGCAAAGTCATCCAACAAATAACACAAAATTGTACCGTAGTAGTCAACTGTTGCATCAACATTCAGAAAGGTCTGGACAGCAGCACGACTTCTCCTCTCTGGCAAACATCTGGCAGCACATCCCACAGGTCTGCCGGAGCTCTGGGGATCCCGCTGGGTGATCCCTTCCCGCTGCCAGAGCTCGACAGAAACAACAGAGGCTTTTGTGGTGGCAAAACTGGCCCGGTGGTGGCGTAAAAAAAGGGCTGGCCGTGGCCTGGGCTGACCCTGGAGCAAAGGCAGGCCGGGTGCGTTGGCTCCCACCCTGGGGAAAGGGGAGGGAGACCCAGGTGACCACTCACATTCAGCAGCAGCTCTGCCACTGCGTCACAGCCAGGCTGCCAGAGTGCCCACAAGCATCACTTATCCTTGGCTCTTCAGGCTGCCGAGAGGGTGGGATGAGTGCTCTCCTCACCCCATGGGAAATCTGCAAAACCTTACAACTTCCTAAAGGTGGTTGTGGGCTTTTTTTTTTTTCTTTTTCCTGTTTTCAAAAGGGTTAAAAAAGTAGGAAACTTTAATCTTCTCAAATTCTCGCTAAGGTAACACTTATTACTTCAACTAACACAACAGTTACATGACAAAGTACTGCAAATTATCAAAACGGACTGTACAGAAAATTACAAACTCGTTGCAAAATACATTGCGCTGCTATGACCGAGATAAAAAGTGCTTTGTTTTGTCAGAAAAGTGTTCTTCTGAAACAGAAGTGCCGTAGCCTTGCAGTGAAATTCCGGTGTTTCGCTCTGGCTGTGCTCTCCTCGTTACCTTTCCAACCTGTGCATTTGGTGCCTTCTCCCTGGATGGCTGGGAAGACAGCAGCGCTGGGGAGCGATGGTCCGTGGTGGAGCGTGGCCTCCCAGCTGGGACCAGGATCACTCCCCTGCCCCTCACACACAGGGAGCACAGAGAGCACTTCCTTGGTTTTTTTATACACTGCATTATTTAGGCAGGGCTGGTTTTCCTTCACAAGGTTTTACTCCTCCCTGCCTGTAGTTCCCACACAACTGCTGGCATTCCCACACGGCCGTTATCCAGACTCTGCACTGACCTTTTCCCAAAAAGCTGCCGGCTTCAGCGATGCCTGTGTTGCCTCATGAGGGGCACAATGCAAGAAGGGGGCCCAGCCAGTTTGAGGAAGGGGTGCCTCAGCAGTTCCTGTGCCGTGGCTCTCTGTGAGGGCTCCCGCACCAGCATCGAGTCCAAGAAGCCCCGGAGCACTGAGGAGACCTGCAAACACCACACCGGTGTTAGGGGTGGACAAAAACATCCCTTTCTGGCTGTGTGCACACTGCTTTTCTTGGGAAGACAAGGGACACACTGATTCTGCCTATGGTAAGAGCTGTACTGAGCTGAAGGGCTGTGTCTTCTACACGCTGCTCATGCTGAGCATTTGGGTATCAGTGGGGTGCACAACAGCAGCCCCTGCATAGCTCTGCGTGTGGGGGGTGAGAAAAGCATTAATGTGGGCTGAGGGCTCAGGCCTGAAGCACACCCAAAATGGGAGATGCACACAGGGTTTGGCACTGGATGTGGATGTGCAAACCCACCCACAGCAGTCCTGATATGCTGACTTGCTCTGGTCCTGGAGCAGCTTGGGAAGCACAGGGAACACGAGGCTCTGCCCAGCTCCCTTTGCCATCACTTGCTGCAAAAGCCAAGCCAGGGCTGGGCACAGACAAGGCTATGGCTGATGGCTTTGGTCTCGCATCCTCCCCGCACAAGTCCTGTGTAGGACCCACTGCTCCAGGTGGGACCTTAGAAGTTATCAGCTGGGCACTCAAATGTGTGCCTATAGTGTTATTAAACATGTCACTGCTCAAGACCTTCATCACCTAATGGGAAGTCTGACCTTGTGCATGTCCTTCACCCGGGGCGGGAGGTTGTCCCGGATCCGGCGCATGGCCTGCAGCGGCGGCTCGTTGAAGTAGGGAGGTTCCCCATCGATCATCTCTATCACCATGATGCCCAGGGACCAGATATCCACCTGGAACACACAGGCTGGTCATGAACACTGCTGGTAGTGCAGGGGGGGCCAACAGGCTCAGCACTGGGGCTCATGCAAAGCTTGGAGATGGCTCACGCCGCTGTCTGTGGCCAGTCTAAGCCAGCAGTCTGGTGAGCCATCACCATAAATCTTAACCCAGCTGAGAATGCTCTTGCCTTTTGAGCAGTAAGTGATGGATGAAATGGATTAGCAGTGACTTACAAACCCGGGTCTGCAGCTGGTTTAGGTGCTGCCCACTGGAAGCCCTGTGCACTGGAGAGGCTGCACCCTCCTGCCCTGCATTCCAGCTGCACTGATTGCAGCCACTGACTGCCCACCCCAGGCTGGCTCTGCAGTGCTGCAGCCAGGGAGAGAGCAGAGCACAACTCGGCTGCTGTGCAATCAGTTACTCTGTGTCCCCCGAAGCTCAAAAACAACAGGAACTCCATTCAAGACCCCAAGGCAAACACAAGCACTTAACTACACCCAGGGCCGCTTCCAGCCAGCAGAGGTAACACATTATATAATCCCTCTGGAAAATGATTCAGCTCCAGATAAAAAAAAACCCCAAATAACTCACTTTTTTTTAAAGTGAGTTATTAATAACTCTAAGTGAGTTATTAAATAACACTACTTTTTTTTTATTTTGGTCCTGGCTTGCTGCAGATCTGTTCCAGAATTCCATTTCTCTAATGACTGTAATTCCTGTCATTCGCCAGCCCAAATACAGCCAGGGCCAGTTCATGCTGCTTTTCTCTTTTTTCAACACTATCCTTTAGCCCAAATCCTTTTTCTTTTTCCCTTCTGGTGGGGAAACCTAATGTAACCATAAGTTCAGCCACTTTATAATCCTTCCAGTGCTATTAATGGGCTAATAATACCTGATGTTATTACCCCTGGAATGTCTTCCATAATGGCACCTGTCCTGGGAGCACGTCAGTGCCTGTGGGGTGCTCTCTCACCCTGGGGCTGTGCCAAAACAGTTCCTGCTGCATCTCCTGTCTCAGCTCATTTCCCCTTCTCTGTGCATGTATATTTCTGTATCTCTACATTTATGTGTGTGTGTATATATACGTATATAAATATATAATATGTGGGTATCTGTGTATCTGTATTTTTGGCTCTACCTGCCTTGCAGGGTCGCTCTCTGCAGCTGTTACTATCAGCACCATCAGGCAGAAGCTCCTCTCCCCACGCAGAGGAGCAAAGGCAGCCGTGTCTCCTGCTGGGGAGCCGTGAGTCACTGTCACGGCTGAGCGCGGGAGAGGGGATTGCTCTTCCCAGGCTGGCAGTGCAGGAGTGCTGTGACTCAGAGCTTCCCAATGGATGGGATATGGCACTGCAGACCTTGCTGGTCTCCTCTGAAGGGTTCTAATAAAAATGTGTGGATTGTCTTTTTCAGAACAATTTGGCAGGGCTTAAAATAGCTCCCACAGACGCGCTTTCTCTACCCCTGTCCCTCAGCTAATGAGAGCAATGACTGCAAGGAACGAGCCGATGGGGACACCAGTGCTACCACAGAGGGTGGCAATCCTACCCATCCAGCTGGCTCACGTGTTTGGGACCCTGTGGGACCTGTGCCTCTGCTGGCACCCCTCCAGAGCAAGGGAATCTCAGGCTTCAGCTGGATGAAAGCAGAGTGCAAACAGTGGTGTGACCTGGCTGTGCAGTACAGCTGCATAACCTGGCTGCAGGTTTGGCACATGCAGGTGTGGACACCTGTGACTGCAGCTCCAGGCTTTTATATTAAAGAGCATCAAAGCGTCTTTCCTAATGTGAAAATAAGGCCAGTTTCCTTTCCTACAGCACCCTAAGCGTAAATACTTAAAGGCATTACACTAAGTGTGCTAAATGGAGTTGTTATTTAACGACTTCATCTCGGAGGAACACTTTAAAAGGAGCCGCGATGTAGCACTCTGGGGCAAACGTAATTGCTGCTATTTAGCATATCTATGTAAATGCCTTTGAACTGCACGGTGCTCCCTGAGCTCTGTGGGGTCGACCAAGGCACCCCCCAGAGGGCAAACAGCAGCTCTGGGTCCCTGCCGTGCCCCCTGCACTCACCTCGGTGCCGTAGGGCAGGCGGGATATCACCTCCGGAGCCATCCAATACGGTGTCCCAACTAGCGACTTCCTCCTGGGAACCTCCTTGGACACCTGGGCACAGAACCCGAAGTCGGACAATTTTATCTGAAAAGGAAAAGGAAAAGCCCCTCTTGAGTAACAAGGCACATTCCTGTGAGACACACGTGCCTCTGAAACACACACCTCTGGCTGCAGCGGGAGGGACGGGGATGGAGCTGCAGCGTCTGTCTGGGACAGGACAGCAGCACAGTTTTGCAAGTGTGTCTGGAGACGGGAACACAGCCTGGGGAACTTTAAATTCATTAAAATGAAGGCAAGGGAAAGACGTAGGAGAGCGGCAGTGGTGTTCATTACTGACGTCATCTGTCACACCTCATTGCCTCTCCACCAGCAAAAGATGCAGAGGTGATAAATGGCTTATAATGGTTAAAAACAGAAGGAAAGCAAAAAATTCTGAAGTAACAGTCTTATAATGAATCTATTATTGCATATATATAAACCCCATGTCTGCAGTTATGCATGCATGCTGATACTCAGTAATAAACACATTTCAAGTGATGCACACCCCTCCTGGGGTGTGTACCCAGGAACATGACCTGTGAGTTTGCCAGAACACAGGTGAAGCAGGTGGCATTCACCTCATTCCCTTTTACCACCGAGAGCATGACCCAACACCCACAGAAAGCAAAACCCCTGCCAATGTTTTTTTTAAGACCAGGACCTCACACCATGGGCTGTCACTAAAGAAAATGTCATGTTTATGTAGTAACAGAGCTGATTTCGGAACGGCGGGGAAAGGCACAAGACTCTTCCAAAAAAGA